CAACCAGTTCTTTACCCAGCGAAGAGTATGCCTGTCTAACCACAGCTCCACCAAGTCAGTCAAAGCAGTCCTTTCCTCATCCACTTGAACGACAACAGACGTAACGCATGTATGCCTGTAGAAAATTATTACTGGCTTTTTTCTTAAACTCGGGGTGGGAGAAATCAAAATTCAGTGAGAGTGGGCATTAATTCTTCATTACCCAGTTTTCTGAAGTTTGGATTTTGTTAAATTCAGTGTTCTGGAAGAACAGTTTTAACTACATTAATAGCTAATTTCTATTTCATTAAGTCAAGAGACTGTTACTGTTTACTTTGTTCTTGTACAAAAAACCCTCCTGTTGATTGGAATTTTGAGAAAAACATTTAGACCGAGTTCTACACTCAGTTTTACTTCTGTAGAATGGGATTAACACACTGCAGAATTACTCACTGCTCTCTTATCAATGGATTGATTTCTATATTCATTTGAGGATTCATATAAAGCTGCTGGGGTATCCCATCTCTCACATGATTATGCAAATATTTTACAGTCAGTGGTGGTTCCTTGCAAAGAGGACTACTTTCATTTTTTAAATAAGGAATCACGATTCCTAGAATTTCTCCTCTCCCTGTTATCTTATGTGGGTATCTTGACCGCCTGACTATGATCTCAGTACAGATTTCATTGCATTTTTTAAAGTTATGTCATCAAATTAAGAGATCAGTGTCTCATTGTGGCTCCTTTCAAGTACATGGGAGAATTAGAAGTCAATTCAAGGGACACAGTAGAGTAGCACTGGGCATACTGAGTACCCCATCTCCCCTTTGAGTGCTTATTTACTTAGACTATCAGAATATTTTTCACATTCTAAATTACATCAGGTTTCACTTGGCCATTTTAAACCAGTATCACAAGGCCTTCTGCCTACATCCTGTAAGTTCAATCATCCAGTTTTGCAACTGATAGCACACCAGAATTTTTATTAATTTATTAACTTTATAGTTTTCTTTTTACTACAAGCATAAATCTCTCATTCTATGCATACAGGGTTTTTAAGTATCAGTAAATACTGGATGTTCATTTGATTCATTTTTCCCCCTGGAGGCAGGTACCCACCTAAATACCCAATGATACATGACAGTGGTTTTCTGGTGCTTTTGATCTTCAGAGGATTTCCAGCAACTTCACAATGTCGATCTGCATCTGAGAAGTTTAAAGAATGAAACTCAGTTTAAGTATTACACCATTACAAATATAATTAGGATGCACCAACCAGTTTCTGACTTACATTTTTACCACAAATTTCTTTTTTCTTTTTAACACATATTCTTCCTTTTTTCGTCAATGTTAATAATGATAAATATTTAAAGGCAGGCCATGTCCTCATTCATGCAAGCGATGTGTCGTGGTTTAGCCCCTGTCGGCAGCCAAGCACCACGCAGCTGCTCGCTTACCCTCCCCCCCCGGTGGGATGGGGAGAGAATCAGAAGGGCAAAAGTAAGAAAACTCGTGGGCTGAGATAAGAACAGTTTAATAATTGAAATAAAATAATAATAGTAGTAATAAAATTGCAATGAAAAGGAGGACAACAAGAGAGAGAAACAAAACCTGGGGCAGGGGGGAGGGGAACCCACAAGTAATGCAATTGCTCACCACCCAACTGACCGATGCCCAGCCAGTCCCTGAGCAGCGATCGCTGCCCCCCGGCCAACTCCCCCCAGTTTCCATACTGACCATGACCCCATATGGTATGGAATAGCCCTTTGGCCAGTTTGGGTCAGCTGTCCTGGCTTTGCCCCCTCCCAGCTTCTTGTGCACCTGGCAGAGCATGGGAAGCTGAAAAGTCCTCCACTGGCATAAGCAGTACTTAGCACCAATTGAAACATCAGTGTGTTACCAACATTCTTCTCCTACTAAATCCAAAACATAGCACTATGCCAGCTACTAGGAAGAAAATTAACTCTATCCCAGCTGAAACCAGGACACAATGTTATGATTTTTTTTTTTAAAGTTAATGTAAGTTCTAACACAAATCTGACTGCATTTTTTATTTCCAAAGTCTTTTTTGAGACAGTCAGCTAGGCAAATGAAACACAGATGAAAACATGAGTACTAAAATAAAAGCAGCTCTGGCTATTAAAAAGAATTTACATGGAATTCTTCATTGTTTTCTACAAGCTTCTCTGGCCCTAAATGGAGTAATACAGAGGTATGAAGGACTTAAAGTTGGGACTACTGATTTTGGTCATGTATTACTCGCATGGTATGGTGATTCATATCATTCTTAATAAGTAAAACAGAACACAGGGGCTATCATGGCAAGGTGAAACTTAAAAAAAACCCAAAAAACCCTTTACTGTAAGCTTTTGAACAAAGTGGTCAATTGTAACCACGTATGACAGAGCCCAAAGGTCTCAAAGATAGGAACTTCCTGCAAAGTAAATGAAAATACGCAGTTCAGTAACTACCTTAATTTGATGCTAAAACTATGAACTCACAACTTGAAAGGCACTGCGAATACAGAAGCAATGAATCTGTCTAAATGCCCCGAACATAGAAGTGTTACTATGAAGAGGTTCATGCTTAGACAGTGGAGTCAATCAGCCTAAGGCAAAAATTCAGAAGACACTAGGTTTCATTAAATAGTTTCAAGACTACTGGAACTAGACTATCTTTTTTTTTAAACTACTCAGAACAACTGGGTTATCTGTTTTCCAAAAGCACATCAATAAACCCCATTTAGGGCTTCCAGTATCCCTAGGACACAGGTATTCTGTTTTTTACAAAATTGCGTTCATGTGTTGATTGTGTAGATCTAGAATTCCCTCACATGGAATTACTTCCGACATATACATACCTACGTGTACACCTTTCTTTGTATAGGTTTCACATGTGCACATGTGGATCTGCATCTTCTAACAAGCTTTGCAAGAGCTAGATATTATAAATAGATTACAATAACTGTAATTCCTCTTTGTCTCCACCTTCTTTTTTACCAAAATGTTCCTGTTTGCTTCATTCCAGCACAAGATATGGAGTACATCGGCACATGAAGAGGGTAAGACACTATTTAGAGTAACTTACGTTTGAGACACACCCCCCCCCAAATTTACAATCTCTTTATGTATTCTATCTAGCTATGTGCAAAAAAATTGAAGGTCATGCAACCACAGCAATGACTGAAATAAGTATTTCAGTATGTTCACAGATGTTTTTAACGCAGCAGGCAATGCACAACTTCATTCCAGATATTAAGGAAACTACCTGAAATTCTTGTATGTGCTAAGTGTAAATGGTAGCTGGTATCTGAGAAGCCCAAAGGTTCCAGAGCCCTAACACCAAGTACACAAAGTACTTTATTATTTTACCTTAATAACAAAAAATACTGTTCTCAGTGCAAAAAAATGCACTGAACCTAGTGCCTGGAATACTTTTACTATTCCACACCACTTGAAATATTTTAAGTGACAGAGTAGAACGATGTGTCTCCACTGCCTCCCTTAGTAAAATAAGCACAGACTATACAGTGAGTATTTTATAGTTACTTTGGGAACAGCAAAGCATCGCCTAAGAAGTAATTAGCAAGAAAATTTTCCATCTACATGTCTTCACTGTAAAAAAAGACATTGAATCATGGTGAGATATTAATATGCTGACTGAGAATACAGACTGCAAAGAGAGCACAATTTCCATGCTTGAGGCAAAGCATGTTCACCAAAGGTACCAGGTGGGTATTCCACAACATACCAGTCTATTAAAACAGTTAAATACGTTTAACAGCAGCAAACTTTAATCCACAATATGGTACTCCCATGAAAAAGATAATAAAGTTTATGATCTTCATGCACTACATACAGAAAAACACAAAGTTAGATTGTGCATCACTCTCAAGTGTAAAACCATAGAATAAAATTTAGGTAGGAAGTTGTCTAAAACAAAACTTTAAAAAAGTCCTAAAATCAAATATAGGCTTCCACATGAACACTAAAGATCTTAGTAAGATCAGTGAAATAGTCGCAGCTGTAAGAAATAAAAATGTATTTTAAAAAAAAAAGAATTGGAGTATTACATTTGATAGTATATTTTTTCAAACATATCAAAAGCAGAAAGTGTGCTTGTGTCTGTAGCAATAGATGATCAAGGTGTGAGGAAAATACAGAAGAAAGGAAGGCATGGCAGAAAAGCTGAATTAATTATTTGCAGCCATGTTCACTGCAGAAGAACTTAAACAAGCTCACTTCCAAAACCCTTTTCTGAGGAAAGTGTGAGAACTGTGTCACATCAAAGTGTCCATGGGGAATATTTCAAAACAAATCGGTTAATGAATAAAAACAAGTTACCAGGACCAGGTGGAATTCATCCAAACAGAAACTGCTGAGCACGTACACGACTGGTGTTTAACTAATGCTTAAACCGGTCTTGGTTCAAGAGAACAAAAACACGGCAAACGTGATAACATTCTTCAGTAAGTAGGTCTGCAGACTGGCAAAAGAGTTGAACTATTAATAGAGGCATACAGTTGAATACGGAAATGTCAAGGGAGCCAACAAAGACCTTGTAAAGGGAAAACACGTTTAATGTGCGCACATTATTCAGCGGCGTGTCCTTGCAACAAGGACGACCACACGCTGAGCCCTACTGGCCCGAGCGCAGCCGGCGGGGCGGGGGAGGTAACCCTGCCCCTCCGCCCTTGTGAAACCACGTCCAGACGCTGCGGTGAGTTCTGGGATCCCCGCTATATGTGGGCACACCGGCAAAAGGCCAGCTACTGGAGAGTCTGGTGTGGGGCTGGAGCAGGGGATGTGCAGGCAGAGTCTGAGGGAACTGGGTCTGGTCAGCCTGGGGATGAGGAGGCCAAGGGGAGACCTGAGTGCCACCTCTAACTACCTACTGGCACAGCACAGAGAAGACCAAGCCAGAGAGAAGACCAAGCCAGACCCTTCTCGGAGGTTTGCAGGGATAGGACAACGTACTATTGCTGTGTGTGGCAACAGACGCAAGCTGGGGGTGGGAAACTCTTGTTAGATGTAAGGAAAAGGAGGTTGACCAAACGCTGGAACGGGTGCCCAGCGAAGCAGCGGAGTCTCCATCCTTGGAGATAACACAAATCTCATCCGGACAAAAGGCCCTGAGCACTTGAGCTTTGTGCAGGGCTGGAATTCGGGACCTCCAGCGGTCCCTTCCTGCCTACATGTCCTGCAAACCAGCGACTGCAAGCGCCACAGGTCTGCCAGCATCCCCTGAAGGCATCGTGACATCTACACACGCAGCCCATCTGGCAGCCAACTTGGCATTTCAGTTAGCTTTTAACAAACTGTGTCACCAAAGGCCATTGCTGTCCAGCTGTTCGAGGGTAAAAGAGAAGTTTTTTTTCAGGGATCAGCACCCAATTAAAATTATTTGCCTATGTAATCCCCAAAGGATCTGCGCTGCTCAATGTATAGAAGATCAGGAAAAGAGGTGACTAGAGAGTTAAAGTTTCCTGATAAGAAATTACTGAGCATAATCAAAGCTAAAACTGATTGCAAAGGGTATCAGCAGCATCAAGAAATAAATGTAAATTAATTCTTAAAGGGAAAAATGACTAACATACAGATATAACGATGGGTTCTACAACACCACCGTGCGGAAGAGAATTCATGGAGTCAGTGTCAACAACTATCTAAAAATATCTAGACAATACTAAAGAGTGGTCACTTAAAAAGAAATTAAAATCAGAATATTAGAAATTATGAAGATAGGAAAATAGAAAACATGTGACTCTCTCTAAAATGATGGGAAACCTGTATCTTGAAGTGCATGTAATTTGGGGCACCATAACCCTAAAGAGGATACAGTACCATTTGAAAAACTCCAGGGAACAACATTACGAACCACAGTGTGAAATGGATTTTTTCTGAGGTTTTAAACAGACCAAGTTCTTCACCTAGAAAAGTGATGACTGTTGTGGGTATTAGAGAGGTCAACGCAAGCAGGAATGATAACGAATGAGGCCTGCTCTTTTAGATTTGAAAGGCATTTTTAATGATTTTCTTTCTTTAAACTAGATTTGTAGGTCTCTTAAGCTTAGAGAGGCTCTCACTGGGGAGCTATTTCTCTTTGACATTCCATCTACCAAAATTCAGATTATCTAATGAAGGTACTGTGCTCTGTGTATTCCCTGAATTGTATTCTTCTTAGAAACTCTGAGGAAAAAATAGGGTGTTCTTTTAATTATTTTACCAGCTACTAAAATCTGGCACAAACTGTATTCAAAGACAACAGTAGAGAAAATATTTTCATCCTAGATGCAGCCAAAAGATCTTCCACAGCTATCAAAACCAAGAATGTAAAAAACTGTGAACCAATACCCATAAATGTTACTCACTTCAGATGAATGGGTAGTTTTATATCAGTAAAACACAGGCTGTATGCTTACAAAGACAAATCAGTAACATTTTGCATATTCTACTTAATTTTCACTCATCTTTGTTTTCCCAAACCAGATCATAACAAGCAAGTACTGTGTACCAAACTTGTTATTAAATCTGCAGATTTAAAGCTAAGTTTTGATCATGAACAGTATACCCATTTCCAGATAACGATATATATAATAGATAATATATTACCATCCACTGAAAACATTTTGACAATCACGTCTACATAGACAGAGTGTAGTTACCCAAATTTAAATTACTATAATTAATACATAGTTATATTGATAAAACTATATCCGAGCAGGGGGAAAAAAGAATTCCCTCAAAAATCCTCCTGTGCTGAAGTAATAAGGTTCACAGGTGCATGACTCACTCTCATGCATCTATCAACATGCTTGTAAGCTGGAGACAGATCCAATCTTGTCAGTGACTGGAGAAGAATGCCCACTTTGGTTTCCTCTAATTAAGAGTCCTTCCATAGACAGGATAGTTCTGCTTAACTTTCTAAAAAGCGTGCAATATATTCAAACTAAAAAGAAGGTATTTGGCCTAATTTAGAGCATGGGAATTTCCTCTCACTGAAATAGTTCGCCAATTCTAATTATTCCTGAAAATCCATCAGACAAGTTTATTGTCAACAACTACAGTGAGTCTATTATCGTCAGGCAGAACAAAGTTTGCGTTTTCCACGATGGCTTGTGTTCCTAGCAGGAGATGCCATGCCTTCTCAACCTTCTGGGGACCATCCCTAGATTGAACTGGGAATGTAAATGCATCATCTCCACTACCTCCTGCTGGCATCGGAGCAGGGGTCACGCTATAGGTTCACTAATGAGAAAAATCTAATTCTCTGCACTAACTGAAGGAATGAAGTACATAGAACAGGGCCTTGTTTTCTGCCAGTGGACCTAACAGGCCGAGGGAGATGATGTGGGTGGAATTACAATAATAAATAAATGCTCTATCTGAAATCTCATTTCACCTAAAAGATGGTTAGGCCTGAGATTAGCATTCTCAGAGGCTTCCATGCCCCTCCAAGACAAAAGAAGTATCTGCAGATGAGTTCAGGTGGACCGCAAAAATCAATTTATTTTACGAGCAGGCTCTGACTGGCTTGTTCAGACTTTCTTTCTCAGAAGAGGGAATTAGTTTCATTTACAAGATGGCACTTCATCAAATTGCCTAAGATTAAGAAGGCATAAAGCCTGGTACGCTGCTGGGGTAAGTGCCCTACCACGCTTCTGTCTTTAGATTTTGTGGTTTCTGAGTGTTGGTATGGTGCCTACTGCAATATAGCTGTGAAACGCAGTTATGTTTTCAAGCACTGGTTTGGCACACACACAGAGTCAGGTGAGTCTGACAAAGCAGTCATTAGATTCAAGTTTCAGCAAACCAACATGGAAAACAAATTCCAGACCAGTTCTTGGACATCCTAACCATCTCATGCCATATCACATCATGGGTAACCTGCTACTCTGGCCCGGTTATTATCTAAGTATGATTGTAACTTTTGTAACACCAACACAGCCATTCATTCAATGTTGCAATTACTCAGTGGTATTCAACATACAAAATGATTACTGTTAATTATGTCATTTAAAAATTAAAAAAATTTAAAAATTACTTGCATCAAGCTATCATTAGAAAAGGATTCAGGGCATTCAGGAAGGGAGACTCTATTTAGTTGTAACATTAAAATCTACAGAGTGCACTGAACACAGCTCACCAGATGTAAGGACATGAACAAAACCAGAAAACAATTTTTGTATTTAATTACTTACCAGGCTTTACCCCTAGTAAATATTTAAGTCATATTTAAGAATATGACTATGACAATGAACGTAAGAGCATTGTATGATTCCAGAGATAGATAGCCAGAAACAGAATACGCGCGCGTGTGTGTATATGTACAGAGAAACATGAGATAAATTCATTAAATGAGGTATAATCTAGTTTCTGCTATTATACAATAATTTGAATGTCATGTTCAAAATGCATTGACAACTGTGACTTTGTTTTTTCCAGTCCATGTTACGTCTAATCAGGAAGCATCAGCATGCAAAAAGACAAAATTGCAAGGTCCAAATTTTGCTTTAAATAAAAAGAATAATGGAAGACAGAGACTACAGGGTGAGGGGGAATCTTTCTGCTCTTGATGTTAATCTGATGTGGCACTTTTTCATTCAAAGGAACAAAGAGGAAGCACTCGCAGCACTGTCAGTCTGATACAAGAATGACTATTTCATGCT